TGGTCTAATAAAAAGTTCAATGACCAATAGCTAGGCAGAGGAGGGACAGGCTGGGCTGGCGGGCAGAGAGAGTAAGTAGGAAAGAGAGTGGATAACAGGGAAAAGAGAATGAGAGAGAAAGAGAAGGAGACACATGGGACTAGCCTGACAGGCAGCTGCCATCCAGACATAGAGTAAGACATGACGAATGAAAGAAAGGTAAATAGCCCCAAGGCAAAATGTAGATGAACAGAAACAGGTTAACCTAAGTTATAAGCTCCAGTGGGACAAGCATGAGATGAGGCCAAGTCTTCATAATTTATTTGGGAGCTGGTTAGTAGCCCAGAAGAAAGCCTGCTACACTATATATTACCCTCCAGAGAAGTCAAGCAACTCATTACTTGTTGACCCAGCTAGACAACAGTTCAAAACAAACAAACAAAAAAAAAAATCAGGAAAGATTTCAAGACCTACAACTGAAACATGCTGGCTAAGGCAATAAGCAGTCATTTAAATGTTCTACAAAAAAACTGATATGATTTCTGACTTTCAAGATAGGTCAGCAGGTGTATGGCTCCTGGTGAAGGAAGACAAAGTAAAAGTTCAATTTGGAAACTAGTAGGTTAAAATGTAGGCAGGAAATAAAGTGTGTCTATCTTACTCTAAGAGCCTTGGAGAGTAAAGATTGAGATTCCAAATAAACTTAAGATAGGATCAACAAGACTTGCTAGTGGGCAGGGAACAACAGAAAATTCAAGTGTAAATTTTACACTCCAACTTGTTTAACCATGTGTAAATAGAGAAATTGTTTGATAAGAGTGAACAGTGTTACTGGAGGGGGAATACATATATGAACTATTTATCCAGATGTTTAAATGTGGGCTCAGGATGATAGAAACAATATTTAAAGCCAAGAAAATGAATAAAATTCCTGAAAAAGAAAAAAAAACATGAATAGAGAAAAAAAAAAGATAATGCAAGACTGAGTCCAGAGAACAATGACATGTAGGATTTTTGAAGAAGAAAGCAAGATAGAATATACTGGAAAACAGCAATTACAGAAAGTTTAGCCTTTCCACAATGCATACTTATTTCAATATACTATCCTGTACATTCCAATTTAAATTAAATATTAAAAAGAATTCTAGAACACAGGCCATATCACTTCATAAGGTTTTCAAAATTCATAAAAACATGTTATTTTTCATATCCACATAACTTCATTGAGCCTTTTAGAAACAGTATACTGATTACAAACTAACCCACTTAAGTACATTTACAATACAGTTTAACTGGTTTTACAAATGCCAGTTCCATTCTTGGTAACACATTTTCATTACTCCACCATAAGAAACCATGTACCTGAATAGGTTACTTTTCTCTTGGCTGTGACCAAAGGCTTGACAAGCAGCTGTCGGAGGACTTGGGCTCATGATCTGGGGGTGTAGTCTATCACTGTGGAGAAGGCACAGTGGCAGCAGTGTGAGGCCATTGGTCATACGGCCTCCACATTCGAAAAGCAGGGAAACATGGAGCCAGTGTACTGTTCTCTGTCCTTTTCAGACCAGGACTCCAGCAAAATGGTACTGCTCACATTTAGTGTCTATCTTTCCTCTCAGTTAAAATTTTCTGAAAATATTCTCATAGATACACTTAGGAGTGTATTTCCATGGTGATTATAAACCCAGTCAAATTGACAATGAAGATCAACTATCACAGTACCAGTCTTAGTCTGGTTCCAATTGCTGTGATAAGTAAACACCATGACCAAAAGTAACTTGGAGAAGAGAGGGTTTATTTGGCTTCTATATGTCAGGTCACGGTCCACTGAGGGAAACCAAGGCAGGACCCTGGAGGCAGGCACTGGCACAGAAGTCACGGAGGAGTGCTGCTTAGTGGCTTTTCCCCCTGGCTTTCTCAGTTTACTTACTTATACCCCCAATGACTACCTGTTCAGAGATGGCACTGCCCACAGTGAGCCAGGTCCTCCCATATCAATCATTAATCAAGAAAATGGACCCACAGACTTGCTACAGGCCAATGTGACGGAAGAATTCGTCTCAGTTGGGTTCCCTCTTCTCAGAAGACTCTAGCTTGTGTCACCTGACAAAACACTAGGTATTAGCAGTTACCCCTCCTTTCCTCTACTCTTCTGCCATCAACTCTCCCAACCCAGTCCACATACCCTAACCTTAGTCCTGTTCCTATATTTAGCTATCATGGACATTTAAGCTAAGGAAATTACATACTAGCTGGCTTGCTGCAAGAGGCTTTGGCTTTATATATTGCCAAGATTTATCTATATTGTAATATGCTTCAAAACTCCAATCATGTCTATGGGTGAATGAATGGATACAATATATTTTGTCTCTTTATCATGTGAACATTTGGGGTGTTTTCTCTTTGGGCTATTATAAGTAATGCTCCAAATAGATGTATGTACACTTCTATAACTATGTTATCAATTTTATATACATGCATCGATATATAGATATGACAAGTCCACACACACCACCATGGCATGTCTTATGGAAATTTTACATTAAAATTTTTGAGGAATTACAGACTGTTTTCAAAGTGGACATGCCATTTTACTTTTCAAACAAGAGATATAGGCAGGGATCCAAAATTTCTAAATTCTCATCAACATGTTTTCATATAATCTTTTGTATATATGCATCTCACTTGATATCAAATAGTATATCATTATGCTTCAGATTTGTATTATTTATAGCCAATAATGCTGTGTTTTTTGCACTAATTACTTTCTTACTCTTATAACCAAATATCTGATAGGAAGTAATTTAAGAGAAAGGTGTTTTACGAGACTCACATTTTGAAGCTAGAACCCATCATGGAGGGAAAAGCATGGTCGAGTCCATTAGGGCGGCAGCATGAGGCTACCCTCATTTTTAGCAGATCTAGAAACAGAAGTGGGGTACTCCTCGGGCTTTCTCCTGTTCCCTCTTTGTTTTTCAGCAGATCTAGAAACAGAAGTGGGGTACTCCTAGGGCTTTCTCCTGTTCCCTTTTTGTTTTTTAGCAGATCTAGAAACAGAAGTGGGGTACTCCTAGGGCTTTCTCCTGTTCCCTTTTTTTATTCAGTTTGGGGACACCACAGGTAGTTTGGTGCTACCAACATTCATGGTTATCTCTTCACGGATCATCTCCATGGATTTCTCTGGAAATCTTACAGATATATCCAGAGATCCAAATTCTGTCAAGCTGACAATTAAATTAACCATCAAGGCTTCATTCTGCTATTTATGAACAATTGTATACCTCCATCAGAGAAAAAGTTGTTCATTTTTATTAATGTGTGGCAAAAGTTCTATATATATTCTAGATACATGTTCTTTATCAGATAAGTGATTTTTAATTTTTTCCTAGTCTATGTTCTCCTGTTTAATTCTTGGTGGTGTCCATGGAAGAATCAAGTTGTAAATATTGATGTCCAATTTATCTATTTTTTTTGGTCTTTGCACATAGGATATCATGTCAAGGAAATAGTGAATTAATCAAAGATTAAACCTATGTTTTCTTTCAATAATTTTGTATTTAAGTATGATCTACTTAAGAGTTTTTGTATAAGTCATGAGGTAGGCCAATCCAAAGCAACTTTTAGTAATATTTATTTTTTCACCTTAATACAGAAGCTTTTCTCATCTATGAAGAACATCCCAATATACCCACTGAATGCCTGAAACCGTAAATAATACCAAGATCTGTATAGACAGTCAATATATGAGTGTGGCTTCCAATTTTGTTTATCTAAAGGTACTAAGAAAGCAGTGGGCATTCAATAGCAACTGTGTTCCAGATTTTGAATTTTCATCTTTGCCAGGCAGGAACTGGACAGTGGCAGTGAGCCCTGCCATCACATGGTGACTATAAACAGACTCGCTTCTGTAAGTCTGGAGAATGTCAGAGCACAGCAGGCGAAGCTCTGAGGCTGGCAGGTTGGTGTACTGAACATGGTTTTGACATAGCATTCTCAGCACACCATGAGTTTCTTCAGACCTAAGCCTTCACAAGGCCAGGAGCAGCTGCTGTGCTGTTTCTCCTGGATAGTCACACTACAGTAAAGTTTAACTTATGAACAAGCTACAGTAAGAGATGAACAGTAACAATAGATTAAAGCAGGTACTACCAACAATCTGTAACACAAGTTATATAAAATGTATGAATTACTTCTAGATTTCCCGGTCAATGAGTAATGCAAACACTTAGCATATATATAGATTCTAAAATTTTTTCTTGGATCTTGAAATATTTAGCAACTTATTACTATTCTATCTACTTTTCAAAAATTGAGAGCTCCACCTTTAATGATTACTCAGGAATTTACAATTTTATTTTATACTTTATTCCCTCCCTTATTTATACCAAAATATTGTGAAAACTGATATTTGTTTATAACATAATTTATAGTTAGAAATTAAATACTAAAGCAGCTGAATGTGGGTTTCCATAAAGATAATTTTATCTTTGTATCTTCCAAATTTATTATTGGCAATTTTTATTACTTAAAGCCTTCTCCAAAATATTTTCAATATTGTTTCAAATATCACATTCATAAAACTTAGCTTATTGTTCCTAATTACTTTTTAGTCTCTGGGTAGGCAGAAATTAAACTTTGAGCAAACTAATTCAGTTTTAAGTTCACTTTTCACTTGAGGTTTTTACCAGGTTGTTATCAAAGCAACTTTCCACTTTTAAAAACAAATCTTAGTAGATTCTACTCTCTCTATCACTTCCCAATTCTGGCTGTCTATCTGTAACACCCAAATTCCTGAAGTTTTTATTTTTATTTGTTTTTCAGTTGCTCCTCAAGACACTTTCCACCCCAGCAGAAGTTCACATGAAATTCTTTAATACTTTGAAGGCCGTCTGTTCTCCAAGAATTTGTACTTCAGCTCCCCACCCTTCCTCCACCCACAATGATCCTTGGATGACCACAGATTAGTGCTTCAAAGTTGCCTGCCTTGGCTCCTCCCCTTGCACTGGGGTAAACGCTCTGTCACTATTTTTAAGACTATCATTTCTCTTTGTCTGTGAAGTCAGACAGAACAAGAAGAAATCCACTTGATTCAGATACTCTCAAGACCCTTCAAGGATTAAATTCTCCTTCTATAAGCACTTACGTCAGTCAAGAAGCATCCAAATAAAAGGTAATGTACAACTCTTCTTGTCAGTACTTCTGTTTTACAAACTCTCTCTTCCAAATGTGTTTGTGGGCCAGGGATTTACATTCAAAATAACTTATAATTAAAAAGTTTATTTGGTTTTATTTCAGTAAAAATAATAGCATTAAGTAGTAAAAAGAAAAACGTTCTGGGTTTTCACATTTATTGGTCAGAATCCAAGAAGAGAATTTTGAAATATCTTTGTGCTTATTTTCCTCCTTGTAAATTATGAAGCCACTGTATTCATATTTAAGCACCATTATTATGGCAGGTATGTTTATGTATACATACGTATATGCATATAATATGCACTAAGCCACGTTTCTGTTTTGAATAGAATGTTTGTATATTTTTGCAAGACTTTTTATGTCAGAGACTTTTGTGTTTATGGCTGAATCATTTCCTTTTCATCAGAGTACAGCTAGGTGTAAGACAAGGCTAAAATGGTTCCCTTTAATATTTAAACTTGTTCCACAAACAATCTATTCAAAAATTATTTCTACCACACCCAATCATTTCAACTAAGAAACAGGACTAACAACTTAGGATAGATGCTTTACTGTTTATTTAGAAAAGGTGAAATTTTATAATTACATAAAGATAATTATTGTGTAAGCTGAATTTTAATTTAGGATTTTTTTGGTTTAGCTAGCATATTAGATTCTGATACTGTGCTGTAGTTTTATATACAAAGCATTTGTACCCTCAATTTCTTTCATAATTAAGTTTATCTCCTTGTGATGATAAATATTTCATTTTGTCAGGTTCATTTAAAAGATCTAAGAGTTTATCATCATCTCACTATCCATCTTTAGATGTATGCTAAGAGTATTAAGTTGCTAAGAAAAATCCTCAATAAATACATATTATATTAATCTTATGAAAGCACCTTCATAGCCAAAAAGTCTTTTTCCTGATCAAACTGATTACCATGGTAAATTTCTTTGTATCTGCCAAGTTAAAAGCTTACTGTTTTAGTTATAATCTACAAAGATGAAGTTTTCTCAGTGAAACTCTGTATCACTTAGGTAGCTAAAAGAACATGACAAATGTCAAGGTTTTCTTAAACTCTACAATGTTAAATACCATCTGAGGCCACGGAAACTGGGATGCCAGATTCATGAGTTCTTTGTTCCTATCTTTTCCCTATCAAAGCTGATTTACAGCTGCCACTCGGCCACCCTGTTCAGAAGTAAGAGCAGGTTAAACAAGCACACCCGCTGAGAAGTCCTAAGGTAGCCTGAGCCAGCAGAGCTGTCTGTGAGAAGGGAAATGCTCTACAACTTGCCATGCATGAAGTACCTGAAATGTGATACGGCAACTAAACATAGTTACATTTGAATTTTAAATAATCCTAATTAATTTTTATCTTACATAGTGTCCTATGCCCATGGCCCTATTCAGTATATATCTAAGGTAATGAAATTATTAAATGTTTTCATTTACAAATTCTTCTGAGATGGAGGAAAGTAGTATTATCAACAGCAACAAATATAGATCACCAGACAAGAACTAAATATTCATGACTGTTGTCCTAGTATGAACCCTTTCACCACTAATTAAAAAGCAATAAGATCTTCATTTTTATAGAGCACACAGTAGGCCGTCCCTTAAAATGAAACCTTATAAAAATAATATCTTCAAAGAGTACACTGAAAAGACAGCAAAGCCACTATTAATTCTGTACATGAATGAAAGAAATAAATGATCTATTTAAGTCTTCCCAAGCAAAGAAATAAGGAAGCACTATACTGGAGAAAGAGATAGATATCTAAGAATTTCAAACTTCGAACTTTCTTCAAATTTGTCAGTGAAAAGTGAATGGGGAGAATGAAGCTGCAAGCACTGAATGATCGATAATCAGAATGATTCAAAGAAAAAACATCCCAGGCACCATGTGTACCCTTTACACAAATCAGTAAGTCAAATGTATATTCGGGTAACAAATTACACTTTCCTAAGAAGACAAGAGATTTATCTGAGCAGCAAGAAAATGGATGACCCGAAAGTTGAGAACTTCAGACTATCTCTTCATTCTAATTTTTCAAGTCATAAATATTAGAAAATTGAAAGGACTTTTAAACCTGGTTGTTTTGAAGTCTCTCAAAGCTGTAGAGATGTATTCAGACAAATGTTTTTCCATGAGTGCTACTCTGATCCAGGCTCTACCCTAAGAAGAACAAGAAAGGATCAAATAAGAAACTTAAAAATATTTTCTATATACTGTTAAATATATGTATATTAACAATATGGAACAAATAATTCAAAAACAAAGAATGACTAAGAAACATATCTAAGAAGATAAAGCAGAAAACTTCGATAATATTAAGCATATATTTTGTTTTTTAGAAGCTATATGACATATCAAACTACCACTATATCCTCTGATGAAAATGAGCTACTTGAGTTTGATATATATTTTGAATCATATAGTACATTTATACAAAATTCTACTTCAATATCAAAGGCAGCATGCTAGTTAAAATGAGTCCCCTTGTAAAATACATGAAACAGTCTTTTCGTAGTCTCTCCAACAACACTTGTTTGAGAGTTTTCTACTGATGCCCCAAGAAGAAGTTTTCATACCGATAGGAAATTACACTATATGACCAGTCACAAGCCCAAATCATGAGCTATGAAATTTGGAGCTAAAATATGCTACCAAAGATTTAAAATAGATACCAACAGCAAGAAGCCAGGGACTAGGGATGTAGCTCAGTGATACAGCATTGGCTTAGCATGCTCCAGGCTCTGGTTTTAACTGCCCTCACCAAAAAACCCAAAAATCTCAACTCCGATATTAGCTTATTTCAGCACAGAATCAGAGACAAGAACTTCTGATGTGTGAATCATTTAACATTACTAGAAAGTGTTAACCCCTCTTGGTACCTAGTATTAGCTAGTCTTTCTTAATACTCTAAAATATTCCTTATAGATGTGTGTGTTTCTGTGTGGATATGTGGTTGCACTTGCCTGTCTATGTGTGGAGATCCAAAGTCAACTCTAGGTATCTTTATCTATTGCTCTGCAATTCATATTCTCTCTCTCTCTCTCTCTCTCTCTCTCTCTCTCTCTCTCTCTCTGACATGTCTCTTATTGAACCTGGAGTCTGATCTGGAGTGATAGAGCAGGGCCACTGTACCAGGTTGTAGATGCTGGAGATTTGAATTCAAGTCATCATGCTGTGAAGCAAGCACTTTATTTCACTGGGCTACCTCCCTAAGCCTTCTCATAGCCTATTTAGACTGAAAGAATGTAAGGAATAATATCAGTAGAGAACATAAAATTTCATTTATTTTCATTTCTACCTAGCCCTTCTCAAATCTCCAGGAAAATTCCTGGCAACTGAATAACACAGAAAACAACAGCATTGAAATAGCAATGGGAATAAAGATGAATAATTAATCTGCATTATGCTCAGCCCATGGGCTTGGAGGACAGCATGAACATGTCCACAGGTATAATGAATTTAGCATGCTCGTGGGTAAGAAAGGAAGCAGTCTAGGTAGTGATAAAAACAGCCAGGCTGGAACAGCAATGCTGCTGGGAAGAAAATCAACAATGGGGATGGCCTTGCAAGCTGAGCTTCCCACTCCATTGACTTCCAGTGTGCTCTGCGCTCAGCCCATTGTTCCTTCTGAGCAAGTCTGGAGGAACCCACAGAGATGGAGCTGATTGAAACAGAGGAAGGAAAAGGCAGGCTGCTGGCTGCCCAACAGCCCCAAGAGTCTCATTGGAAATTCAGTCTAACAGACACAGAAACTAGCAGTATGTTGTGGAATCAAAAAGCTACACTGTCACAAGTATAGAAGCAAGGGAAGGCACCATCCAGAGAAAATTAGGCACAGGAGGCTGTGCTGTGGCTAGATAAGAGATGTGGGGAAAGTCCTGCTTCCTGATTTATTAATTCCAATCCACACAGAGCTGGGCTGTACTTAGTTTCCTGTCCTTGCATGTGTGTGGAACTCTCTGTTGTGGTAACAAATTGTGCTAATTTTAATGATTTATTTTCTTTCAATGAAAGAGCTTTTACTAGAATAGAAAAACAAGACTTATGAAGGTTGTTGGCACCAAGATATAGAAAACCTGAAGTAATGTTAAGAAATTTACACTTTATTATTTGGCAATGATGAATCATTAAGACTTCAAGAAAGAAAAAAAAAGCCATGGATGTAGATAGTTCTCAAGGACATAATTAATATGTGCTAGACTCTGTTCAAAACTTTGTGTATATTAAAATAGTCTCCATAAGAACTGCATGAGTTTTGGTTATGATACTATCCTTATTTTACTATATGATGAAACAAAGAAAAAATGCCATTAGTAGAGGGAAAAAAAATCTCCATCATCAAATACGCCAGTCTCTGAACTCTCCCTTTATTTCTCATCCAGAGAATGAGATATCATCAATTAAAAGAGCAAAAAGACATCAAATAGTAAAGATATCTGCCTTGACACATTTGACAAAAGACTGTCACTTATGAATACAAAAGTCTAATTTCATATAAATCTCCACCAAATTAAAAATGGATCTGCACGTAGGAGCAGGTTTTAGTTATAGTACAGCCTAATTATTACGATATTCAGACGTTCTCTATTTCAGATTGGGTAAGTGATTATTTTTCAAAGGATTTACCCGCTTCTATCATTTTTACAAATCTATCAATGTGAAGTTATTAATAATAGCCTCACAGGATTTTTACTGTCTACAGCAGTGGTTCTAATGCTGCAATCCTTTAATACAGGTCCTCATGTTGTGGTGACCCCAACCATAAAGTTATTTCATTGCCACTTCATAACTGCAATTCTGCTACTGTTATGAATCATAGTGTAAATATTAGATATGCAGGATATCTACCCCCAAATGGGTCTCAACCTAGAGGCTGAGAACCACTGGTCTACAGGACATATGGGGTTGTCTTCATTCCTGCTATTCTACAATCTGTTTCACTTCGTGAAGAAATTTGCTAAAATCTATGAATTAT